TGGTGTAATTCCAAAATTTTGCCATACTGGCTTAATTATTACTCTAAGTATCTACACTACTGGTCAAAAGTTTGAAAATTGTCTATCAGCATATTAGAATGATTTCTGGAGGATCATGTGACACTGAAGACTGGAGTAGTTATGATGCATAATTACATTTTAAAATGTTAGCCTTCAAGCTTCCAAAATGCACCATAAAAGTATAATTAAAATGGTCTATATGACTACATTAAAGCCTTCTAAGTCCATGAATATACCAACATATAACATATTATTTCTAGTGCTGTCAAACAATTAAAATATTTAATCGCGATTATTCGCAATAATGTCATAGTTAACTCGCAATTAATCACACATTTTTATCTATTCTAAATGTCTCTTGATTTCTTTTTGTCCTATTATTTTTTCTCATTTTAATGCTCTTATCAACATGGAAAAGTGGATCGGCTTGCTTTGTGCAAATGTTTTTTTATTGAAAACAACATTGGCATATACTGTGTTCAAATTCACACTAACATTCTCAGTTGGAGCAAATAATCTCTCAATGTAACACTGTCCATCAATAAAAGGGTGAAAGAAATACTGACGAGGTCCTGATATTGACGAGGGGGCGGAGAATTCGCATCAGCTGTGTGTGTGTGTGTGTGTGTGTGTGTGTGTGCTTGGCCATCATCAAGTGGTGTTTCAGACTGGACGTGCTGCGATGATGATAGCTCAGTTCACAACGACAAAACACACAGATCACTTTGGTCTCGTCAATGGAACCATTTGGCAACTTTTTAAAAGCAAACTTTCCATTCAGAATCTTATTGGCATCCATTTCGGCGTCTCGCGCTCGTCATCCACTCAAAACGTAACGTTAACCAAATTTGGCCGGCTCGCAAGCCCAAACAAGTGTGTGCGTCATGCCTGTTGTTTTGTTTCCGGTCTAGCTAGATCCACTTGCGCTTTGGTCGACGAAGCAACAAAACGTCCTTGCGCGGCACAAGCCATTGAAATGAATGGGTTTCATAGCGCAGCGCCGCGCATGCCGCGTCCTGTTGCAAAAGCATGTGAAAAAAACTACAAAGTTTGCTAGGCCAAGTTTGCAGGATAAAAAAATTGACGCCGTTAAAATGGGTTTGCGTTAACGCTGTTAATAATGCGTTTAACTGACAGCCCTAATTATTTCCTAATAATATTTCCTTCCAGTGGGCAATTAACCATTGCTACTGGATCATAAATCATTGAGTTGAACTCAAGTACCATAAGAGCCATATTCATGAAGAAATCGTTTAGACTGATTCATTGACAAGATCTGACTCAAAAGAATGATTCGTTCACAACAGCAAATGACTAAGGGAGTTTTCTTGCTGTTTCCAGACTGGCTGAATAGCGAGTTCCTCCCGGAGAACAGACGCAGGCTAAGAGAGGCTCACATCTTCCTGACGGAAGAGCTGAAGAAACTGGACATACCTTTCCTGAACAGGGGCGCAGGATTCTTCATCTGGGCAGACTTGAGTAAGGTGAGGTCACAGGGGGCACCACAGCATAACCTCTCACAGCACGTTTAGAACAGATGTCTGCATCTAAACTCTTTAAAGTTCAACAAGTTTGTGTGTGATGTTTGTGTAGTATCTGAAGGAGAAGACGTTTGCTGAGGAGCTGTCTGTGTGGAGGTGTTTCCTCAAGCACAGGGTTCTGCTGAGCTGTGGTCAGGCCTTCAGCTGTGGGTCTCCAGGCTGGTTCAGAATCATCTTCACTGATCAGCAGCACAAACTACAGCTAGGTTTGTTGACCGAACTCATTTCCATTTTAGTTCCTGTCTTCTTGTAGTATCTTATATGTAGTTTGGGGGAGTGGGGTAAGATGTGTCAGTGGGTATTGTAAGCTGTGTCGTCGTCCCATTATTATTTATATGAGCATTATATTGTTCATATAAATATTCAAGTATTTGACAGCTTTCATTCTTCAGGTCCATCATATATTTATAAAAATTTGTACCTTTTTGTTTTATTAGTATATTTCTATGTATGTTGACCTTTAAGACCTTTTTATTTGAAAGATAAGAAGGTCTCCAAAAAAGGTTATCTGTGGGGTAAAGTGTTTCACAGGGTTTGGGGTAAACTGTGCCAGGGACTAAACTAAATAGTACGGTTTGCCTCCAAAGCAGGAAATACTATGACAAATACTCCTATTATTAAAAAAATTATATTGCAGATTGATGAAAATCGCTTTTGACTTTAAAATATTCTGAATAAAAAAAACATTTCCTAATTTATCAAAATGCAAGTGTTGTGCTGCAATTTAAATAAGTGGCATAGCTTACCCCAGACTATCTGACATTGGCAATAATTCTTCTCACATCACTGTTCTTCAGGTGTGCAGAGGATTAAAAACGCATTAGAAGAGCTTCAGAACTCTTCGATGCTTGAAACACAGCGGACGACAGACAAACGGGATGACGGCAGCGGGACAGCGAGGAGTGAAGACGCTAAGACAATAGATGAGTGCAAAGACCTAACACTCAAGACCTCAAGTGTTCAAACCAAACTTGACACTGTGCACATTAAGGCAGAGCCCGTCTCATTGCCTGATGAGAGCTTTGTGATTTTAAATGGCCAATCCGACATCCGCTCAGAGAGTCTGGACTCTCTGATTGGTACTCTGCGGCAGCAGATCCGCTCGTCTGATTGGCTGGAGAAGCACAAGCCTGAGCTAGCTGCCGGAAAGGACCCAATGCAATTGGATGTTTTCACAGATCTACTCGAAAAAGCCAGGAAATAGTGACAGTTGGTAGAAACAAGTTACAATACAAATACTTTTTTAAATGAATGATATGTTCACCTTATGTACAGTTTAAAGACAAAGTCTGTTATTGCAGAAACCACCACTGCGCACCCTGTAGTTGGAGATTGAAACAGAATTGTGGAGAGTCACCACAGCAGTATAGGAAAGTGTTGTTATTCTTGGATGTGTTTTTATACTTTAATTATTACCTTGGCCGTCACTGTAATTGGAGACTGGCCCTGTAATTGCGCTCATATCAAATTCTAAGTATCCAATCTGTTGTCTTTAAATTGATTTAAAGGGGTCTTATCATAAGGAACCAATTTTATTTTTTAAAAATTTAAATATATTGTAACTTTCAGAACCTAAAACTTGCTTCTCAGTGCTATTTGCTGCAAAAACAATCCCAATATTAATTTTCCTCTTTAAATATCAAAGAAATCCTTAAAACAAGAGGAATTTACTTAAAGGGATAGTTCACCCAAAAATTTAAATTGTCATTTACTCACCCTCATGTTGTTCCAAACCTGTATGAGTTTCTTTCTTCTGTTGAACCCAAAAGATGATATTTTAAAGAATGCCAGTAACCAGACAGTTGATGGGGCCCCATTGACTTCCATAGTATATATATATATTTTTTTTTTTCATACTATGGGAGTCAATAGCTACTGTCACCTGTCTGGTTCTGGTTACTGATATTATTTTTAAAATATCTTCTTTTGTGTTCAACAGAAGAAGGAAACCTGTACAGGTTTGGAACAACATGAGAGTGAGTAAATGACACAATTTAAATTTTTTAGTGATCTATCCCTTTAAGCATCACTGCATATATCATTAATACAAGTGAAACTGTATTTGATAGTGCAGCAAGACAAAAGTCTATTCAAGATACAGTCTTTATCAAGTCTTATTATTTTATGCTATTGCTTTTCAAGTAAATTTATCCTGTTAAAGATCCCAACATTTGAAACGAGACAGATATTTATTTTTACAAGCCCCCTGAACTTTTCAGTAAAATTAACAATTTGAGCAGCAATTTGAGCTGTAAAAAAAAAAAAAAAAAAAAATCTGTTGCAACTTTGCGAAGATTCTTTTATTAAATTACTTTTATTGACTAAATGCTGCAAACTGGCCTAATTAAGTGTCAGAGAGAGTGCAAAATGTACAAAAAAGAAAGATGAAATGTTACTAACATTATAAAGTGAACCTCAGGTGAAATGACAATGTATATTATGACCCCTCTAAATTGATTTAAATATTTTTTAGATTTTGTTGGGGGGGGAAAGCGTTTTAATTGACTAGGCTCTCAGTTTTGGGATAAAAGTTCACGTTTGAAATATTTCTTTGCTTTCCAACACTTATCTTTACAAGATGAATTTGTTACATAAATGCCTTGTTTTTGACACCAAGGGTGTTTTTCAGTTTCTAAGGAAAACATCGTTGGAAGCTGTTTTGTTTGAGATCTTCATTGGTGTTAAATGTTTTAAGGGCTCCTGACTGAACGAATGCAACAATCGTCAATTAAAATGTTTTATGTTAAATTATATTTTCATTGTGTTATGTTGCTCCTTTACAACGAACTGGGACCAGAGGCCGCTGTCTCGCATGTATTCGTAAGACTATGGCAAAACTGATCTCAGCTCTGTGGCAGGAAGCAACCATTTTTAGGGGTTTCCTGTTAGCCCACCTTGCCGGAGAGAGGAGAGCTGTTCTTTCCTGTGCCGTTTAGCCGTTGCCGTGACGACACAGCAAAACTTGTGATGTATTCCCACGGTCACTGTGGTTCAGCCTCTGGTGTCACCACCCTGACAATAAAGGCAACAAAAGTATGAACTGACTGAGGGGCCGTTTACATGCTACCGTTTTCAACTAAAAACTTTTGATGCATTTTGGTTTTTTGGGGACCTGAAAATGCAAACTTTAAAAAAAACTGTAAACTAAAAAAACGTGAATTTGTGAAAACTGTGACGCCATATGCATGCATATTACAGGTTAAGTCTATAGGCGCATAGTGTTTCTTTACAAACGTTTCTGTTTTTAGTACATCGTTGTGTAAACGAACCCTATTTTAGAATTGGTTAGTACTGTGTGTGTGATATATACACACATGCATACACACACACACACACACACAGTATGTATATGTGTGTGTATGTTATATAGTTTGTGATTGGATCTGTTTCTTATAATCCAGTTCTGGATGTTTGATGCAAGTATAGTCAAATATAGGCTACGTATTCTTCTCTGAGCACTGTAGACTGATTTATAAAATATCATTTTCACTTTCCAAACCTCACTGACTCACAGGGGTTTCTGGGGGAATTTAACCGCTCGCACAACACGTGTTTGTGTGTGTGTTTATGCGAGGGGGAGTTTCCATTGCGAGTGGGTCTCCACTGTGGGCAGAGGGAAATCTTTACAGTCTCATATTACAGCATCGTGAGGGGGAAGTGAGAACGTGTCTGTACATCCTCATAAATCTCTTGTTTCTGCCTCTCTGACTCATTTGATATTTGAACCTGATCAGTCACTGTACTGTATGGAATCAAATCATTTGAATTCATTTTAAAGACTTCACAGCCATTCAAGGTAAGGAAACCCATCAGCGATTAACAACTGTATTGTTTGAGTTCAGTTTCCAGCTAAAAATATAACAACTCTGTTCAGTTAATATTATGTTTAACCATTATTTGTTTTTAATCATCAGAGCAATGCAAGGACCAGAACTGGTGGACTCGAGGAGTCGTTTTCGATTTATTGAGTCATGTCTTGGCTTGATGGGCTGTTTGTGTATCTGCTATGCGATCTGTACACCTCAATGGCTGGATGGCAGGGGTCTGTGGTCCTCAGGGAACGAGACCACACCGGACAACAGCTGCTTCACCGAGGACATTACTAAAGGTGTGTGATGTGTCTGCTTTTCTCACATACCTTTGGGAATGAAAGATATTCAGAAGTGTCATTCAATATATATATTTATTTCTGGTCATATTTTATCTCGCATTGGGAAAGAAGTGAATCATTACTGCTACTAGTGCCCCCTCTAAAACCATATGTTCGTGAAGCCTCCGAGGCTTTTTAACTTGCCTTTGACCTGTCTAAATGCACTTGGGGGACAGAAATATATTCTGTAGCCCTCATGTGGCCCACATTCATTTTATACAACTGCTCTGGATCTTAGAAACTTGAATTCATGTGGCTTCTATAAAAGATACGTTATTAATAATGCATACTTTTTAGGCCTTTGATAGCATTGCTTTTTTTAGTCTAAAAATACCATACGGTCTGATCATGGGAGCTGAAAGCTTTAGAGGAATTTTGTGGCATTTTTTGCAAGTTTTGACCTGCTGAGAAGTACAGAGCAGCCAAATGTGAGGAATTGTGCAAACATCTCCTGAATTTTTCTGAAATTTCCAACGTTGATGTAAAGTAATGATATGGTTTTGTGTTGGAGGGGTTTCTACACTTCGGTGGGCTATGACATGCTGAACTCACAATATTTGCATGTTTTATTAGTTGTAGCCTGTCTGGTTTTCCCCTCAGTTCATTTCTTCTTCAGAACAAGACAAATGAAAATGATGAAGGATGACGTTATGACAGATCAGTTCAGTTTTAAATAGTTTCACAATGTGATGTTCTTCAAGAGCACTCAAACTGAAATGACTTTCTTAAAGGGATAGTCAACATTTTGTCTTCTGTGGAACACAATGGAAAATATTTTGAAGAACGTTGTGAACTAAACAGCTTTATTTCAAGCTAATATTTCAAAGAATGTTTGTTTTGGTTCCCATTTCACTTCCAATAAATTTGTTTGTCCCAATGGGAAGCAAAACAAACATTCTTTGAAATATTAGCTTTTGTGTTCAGCAGAAGAAAGAAATACAGGTTTGCATAAAGGTTTGGAATGACACGAGGTTCACACAATGATAGCAAACAAAATTTGTTGTGCGTTACTGTAGCTTACATAGTATACAAATATATAAATATAATTTTTTTTATGTCTATAGATTTAAGTATATGTTAACCTATAAGACTATATATGTTGCATTAACATTACATAATATGAACTGTTTATAAAATAAATATAAATGTGTGTGCATTTATATATAAATTATTGTATGTAATGTTAAGTCCTTTTTGTATTGAATTAATTATTACCTAATTAATACACTTGGGGTCCATTCAGTGGAGAATCATCATCATAAAATAATTTAACCCAAGTCTAAACTCAATAACGGTTTAGTTTCTGGACACGGTCATCACTCAAATTCAGTGTTTGTATGAGGTACCCCCTTCTTTGGGGCCTAGTGAGCAGGTTATACCAAACCAAATTCGCTGTATATTAAATTCTTGAATATTAAATGTGTTTTGGTCTGTTTCAACAGCTCTGAAGGCTGAGAGAGTGTTTGCTGTGGTCGCTCTCCTGATGTCTGTGAGCTCTGGAGTGCTGTGTCTCATGTTCGCCCTCTGCTGGACGTCTCAGACGGTGCGCTCCTATTCCAACACTCGCTCACTGCTGATGGCAGGCCAGGCGCTTGACCCGACCTCACTGCTACTGCTCACACTAGTACCTACAGGTCAGTACCTCCATATTTAGCTTTCTTTTTGCAATGTAATGCACATGTTTTAACCTTCTCCCCATTTTCTTTTTCCTCCCCACAGGATTTTTATTTTTTCTCAGCTGGGCGCTTTTCACCCATCAACATATTGGTGAGATCAGGGATGACATCACTCGACTTGGACTGTCCTATTGGCTGGGAGTGGTGGGTTGGGGTTTGCTAATGGCTGTGTTGCCTGTAGTCTTCCTGGCGGAGAAGTTTGTGGTTCCTGACATCCTGCCGGAGCTAATAAAGTCCACTGATATGTGGTGGAAGGCCCCGGAGGTTGCACACGCACGATCGCTTAGTGAAGGTTGCCCTCGTCCACAGCACAAGTCTCATCCTGACTTCAGGAGGTACATGTCAGTGCCTTGAACGAGAGGAAAGAGGTAGCAAGGAAATGCACAAGAGAAGAGACTCTGGTCTCGTTGGTCTTGTAGCCAAATATATGAGCAGAGCATATGTCTCAAAACGGGTGTCAAGGACCAGGATGAGAAACCTGTAACTGTTCTCCAGGATATGGGACACACAGCTACAGGATGTATTAAGGTTCTGTGCTGGCTTTGGCAGTGGTTTCACAGCTGTACTTGGACGAGGATGCCCCAAAATATGTTTTTTACACATCAGTTCACGATCTAAGTGTGGAACATAAAGGTGAAAGGATCTTCAACCGATTATTTCTCCATAACTTTTCATAGTCGCCTGCAGTTGTCAATGAGCGAATAATTTTTTTAGGGAGGTCAACTTAAATGCATGAGTTTAAATGCATTAATCGCGATTAATCGCATCTAACATAAAAGTTTGTGTGTGTGTATATATATATATATATATGCACAATTAATTAAATGTCAGTTATCGGAAAAAAAAACATTAAATTTGTTTTTGCAAACCTATAATAAAGTGATATATAGCAATAATTTATCAGTGTAATGGCTGAAATAGATTGTGATGGGAATCGTTCAAGCAGTGTACGGTTATGGTTACCTCGAACACATTCCGCGATACCTGATAATAAACAATAGTCAATAATAAACTGAATAACTAATTTCATTACTGAAACATTTAAAAACCCGTAAGAATTATAAACGTTCTTCAATAGAATACAAGACGCACTCTAAAGATCCACCTTTTGTTCGATTTAATTTGCAAGTTGGCAGTTGTGATTGTTTAATTACAGTGTTCTACAATTGTACAGAATATCCTGATTCAAATAGTCTCAAAGCACTTTTATACTGCTAACACTTAATGTGAGGGACTCCCAGGTGCTAATGAATTCAACACTACTTGATGGTCCTACAGTTGATTTTTTATTTTCCATCTCTTCTTTAAAAAAAAATGCTAACAGTGCTCTCTACTGGTGATAGTACAAAGAGCATCATGTCTTTATAAACTATTTTAACTATATTTTTGTACTTTATTTGTTTTTAATAAATGAAATGTATACATTAAGTTGAGTCAGTGTCCATCTGTCTTTCTGGTGGTGGGGTCAAACATCTGAGACCATTAGAAGCAGTTATATTTTGTATTTAAATACATTTTATGATTTGTATGCATTTCTTTTCTTTTTGTTATATTTTTTTTTTCAATATTTTATATAAATATATATATATTTTTTTTTTTTAAATTTAGCTTTAATTTATTAGGCTACTGTTTGTTTTTAGTGAATCAACCTTAACTTATTTAGTTCAGTTAGTTATTAAATCAAATGTCTTATTTTATTTAAGCTTCATTTTCATTTGTATTGAATTTATATTAATTCTTTCGATGCCATGTCTATAGGTTTCTATTAAAATAAGCCAATTTGTGACATTGACCATGTGACTCATTTGGACCGCATTGTATGCAGATCATAATTCAAACACTTAGTGAAACATCAGTTATGTTTTAAGGTCATGCCCTCTGTCATTACGCTTTTCATTATTATGGAGACCAAAAAACAAGATGGAGAGCTTTCTGAACCTGTAGTGTTTACATTCTGATCCCACACACGTCGAGATGAATGAACTGGCGGTGTTAATTGTGCATTAATCAGGTGCGGGTCTAATTAAAAGGCAGTTCCGTCCTTTTAGCAGTGCTTAATGAGTTTGTTATTAAAACCACAGAGAATTGTTTTTTTAATTTACTATCAGGAAAGCGATTAATTGGCCCTCAGAACACAACTCGAGTGTCCTTGAAGGTTGTGACGCCGGGAGATTGAGAGCACACCGGTTGACATCGACGGTTCCCCGAAGGGAGTATGAAAGCAGCTGTTTGTGGAAGGTGCGTGTTCTGGATGCAAGAAGCCACTTAAATGATCGTTTGAGGACAATTTCAGTGCAGTGCAACTGTCAGAGCAGAGGAACTCGCTGTCCACAATGCTGACATGCAGGTGTGCTCTTTTTCTGCGGTGTAAGCTACGCTTTTAAGTGTTATTGTTTGTTCCCAGGCTGGGACCTCTTTTTCCACTTTAAAGACAGCTAACTTTAGCCTTGGCTTAAGTGTCCCCGTTGGTCAGGGCTAGGCATACTGTTCAAAATTAACTTCTGATTTATAACATGACAGCCAAAGTTCCTACAGTAGTTACTACAAAAATAATGTGGTTATTTGGTCATTGTTCCCTGCAAAGACTTTGTATTCACGTATTCGACAATGTCATAAAATTATATTTTATTATTTCTGACACATACTGTTTTCATTTGCATGTAAGTGTTAGTAGCCAAGTTCAGATGCAGCACATCATGTTGCTGTTTTTAAACACTCTATACATAACTGTCACAAACTCCTCCATATCAATGCAAAAGATGTAAGGGAAATTATTTTTAAAAAAGCATGCATACTGTTGGAAATGGTACCTTTGGCATACTATTTGTAATTGTGATTTGGGACACACTAATTCTGATCTTGCTTGCGTACTATTAACCCTCTATTGCATAGTGTTGCTTCAGGATAACATACCCATTTTCCCTCATATTATTAGGCTTACAAAATCATACACCAAAAAAAAAAGCTTATTTTAATCTGGAGGAATATGAAAAGCTAATAGAATGCTTGTATTTGATCAAATGACTTGTCCAACCCCCTTTTCAATGTCTTTTCCTCACCTGCACTCACATGCGGCAGCCATGTTTTTTCAGCTCCACAAAACTTTGAAAAAGTGACATTTTCCTTAGGATTTCCATGAATTAAAAAATATTTTCACAATTTTGGGTAAGTTCTGATTTAATTTCACTCTGTTGATTATGTTTTCATTGATTATTTATTTTGTAAATGGGAAAAAAAGCTATGTTGCCTCAAAGCAATAATATGCAACAGTGGAATGAGAATTCCCTGTTTCCATGCTAGTTAGCAATACAATATTATCAGCAATATAACATTTCACACAGATGGAAGGATACCAAGACTTATTAAAGTATTTGTCAGTATGTGCCTTGTTTTTATTTTTATTTAAAAATACTTAATAACAATAACAATATTTATGATGACAGTTTAGCTATGAGTATGCATAGGCATAGCCTAGAATTTGTAGCTTTGTAAGCTCAGATGTGTGTGTGTGCGTGCGTGTGTGTGCACCAAATGTTCAATCTGCCTCCAATATTTCCAGATACATATAATAATTGTGTAATTATCTTTTTCAGTGACAATGAACATAACAACATTCTATGGGAGAAATAGGAGTCAGGCAGTGGACACTGTTTTGGTTGTTCCACGTGATTTAATGAGAATGAATGCATAAAAATAATACTCCTTTGTTGCGCATTGTTACTTCTAGGTAACAAACCCCACTAAGATGGTAACTGGATTTAACTATTACTTTTTCAGCACAAATGTTTTTTTTAAATGAAGTTGATGTTGAAGATCTTTCATAAAATGTGTTTTGTTATGAAATAAAGAGATATATATTAAATAGACTGCACTTTTTGTTTTTATTCCCATTATTGCATGTTGTTGCGCCAAAGTAACATACCTAGATCTACCCCTATTAATATAATTTTTGTAAATTATGTGTTGAATTGTTTAATGTGCTCTATGACTGGTAATAAAATGTGTGGAAATATTTTTTTCTCTATTATTTCATATATCAATAGAGGGTTAAGGGAAGTGTGCTAGTTGGGACATAGCCATTGTTTTACAGTAGTAATATTACGGTGTTCCATTTGACTCGTAAATCAGAATTTCCAACTTGGACAAGTGTAAGTAGTGAAGTCATGCACGAATCACTTTTTTTTTTTTTTTTAAGTTTCCTTCAATGTTGTTGTTATTTAAAACTTACATTTTTGAAAAAAATTTTGCCTCTTTAGCTGATGTCACAAATCCCTTACTTTTCAGACCTGTTCTTCAAAATTACATGGCTCCATTTATATGGCTCCCTGTTTTCAAGATCAATCAGTTTCAAATGGATAAAATAAAAATAAGTCCTTACATTAATATAAGGACTTATTTTACCTATACTCTGCTATGATAAAAAGCTATTTAGCAAACATTTGCAAAGATGGGCATGTAAAACACAGTTAATGAGCTTCTCTGTTAGTAATCCAACTCCTGTGAAATAAGTGCTATCAATGCCATTGTGTTTATTTCTATATCGTTTTTTCTGAGATTGAGATTTCAAGTAGGAATATCTCAGATCTGACTTTAAAAGGAATGCAGCAAATGGCTAACTATGGTGCTTTGCAGAAATTAGTTTAATTAAACTGAGTGGTTGCAGTATATTGATAGTATTATTAGAATCATTCTAGTTCTATAAACATTAGTCAACAAATAAAATATACCTGTGTTTCTGCTTGTAAACCAAACCTCACTCAGTAATTGGTTGGAGGCGGCCATTTTAAAGCCAGTGGGATTGATTGGCAGTTAGGCCACGCCCACTTGCTCAGCATGTGTTGCTACGTGAGGCCTCAGCCCTGGCGACACTCTTCATATCAATTAAAGCCCAATTAGGGAGCCATGTTCAGCTAATTATGCTACGCTTCACATTCCCAGAATAAAGTGAGCGTGTGTTTACTGAGATAAATAAATAAAGACACAGGCTGCCAAGGCGATCCGACCTTAATCAGATTTTCAGTGCTTTCTCTCTCCCTCTGTATGTGTGTGTGTTTATTTTTTGTACTCTGTGCTCGAAACAGGTGTAATTATATGACATCGCCATTTGGTGACAGTGTTGTAACGTGTCTCGTGAAAAGGTACCAATTCCCGGTCTCATTTCTTCCTATTTGAAGAATAATGAAATCAAGAAGGTTATTTCATGCAGAGAGGTTGTTTGCTTGTATGTGTATGAGTAGCGAAAGAGGAAAAAAAGTGTGCCTACACCTGTGGACTGCTTCATCTGTTCAGACAAGCACATTTTGACAAAATGTCGCCTAAAAACCAGACAGTGTTCAGTATTCTGGAATATAATAAATATTCATTAGCTTTTTATAAAATGTTTTCAGCCTGGTGTAATTGGACTTTTAAAAAAATGGATTACCAGGCATGCTTTCAGCTTTAACCACAAAGAGTCAAACAATAAGAGAGAGACAGCCGATTCTAGATAGATTGGTTAAAAAAATGGCGTGATTGAGAGATGGAAAGAGGGAAAACCTGATATGACAGAGGAGATGTGTGTAAAATAGGATAAAATTAATTGAGTGTCACCTTAAATTTGGATTATATTTGACTACCTGTCTTCCAGCAGGTCCTTGTTCCTGAAGTACAATTCACTTATTATTTGCAAAAATCCTCTTTAACCTCCTCTCTTGT